ACCAAGATCCAGGTCTATAGAGCCTGCGTGCTGAGCACACTCCTGTACTGCAGCGAGTCCTGGACCCTTTGTGCCCGGCAGGAGAGGAAGCTGAACACCTTCCATATGCGTTGCCTACGACGGATTTTTGGTATCACCTGGCAGGACAGAGTTCCAAATAGAGTAGTCCTAGAACGAGCTGGAATTTTCAGCATGCATACATTACTGAAACAGCGACGGCTACGCTGGCTTGGGCACGTTGTGAGAATGGCTGATGGTCGGATTCCAAAGGATCTCCTATATGGAGAATTAGTGCAGGGAAATCGCCCCAGAGGGAGACCACAGCTGCGATACAAGGATATCTGCAAGCGGGATCTGAAGGCCTTAGGAATAGACCTCAACAGATGGGAAACTCTGACATCTGATCGTTCAGCCTGGAGGCAGGCAGTACATCACGGCCTCTCCCAATTTGAAGAGACCCTTGTCCAGCAGGCTGAGGCAAAGAGGAAGTCACAAAGGAAGCAAAACCAGGGAGCTGGACAGGGGACAGATTGGATTTGTCTCCAGTGTGGAAGGGATTGTCACTCTCGAATTGGCCTCCTCAGCCACACTAGACGCTGTTCCAAGTCCTCCATACAGAGCACGATACCATAGTCCTTAGAGACTGAAGGATGCCTACTACTAGGGATTTCCCTTTATTCACCAGCAGAGCTGAGCTCTATCATAAAGCAAGTGGTTGGGCATGAAAGATTCTTGGGAGCACTTAAGAAGGGAAGGGAATTATATGTAGCGGAAAACAGTGAACAAGCTGATCTAGTAGAAAGTTTGGTACCCCTTAAGCCAGAAGAGGATAGCTTTGATCCTACTAAAGATGTGCACATGAACAGTGCAAGGGTATTTCGAAAATATGTCCTAAAAGGACTAATGAACTTGGCCCCGGTTCCTCTCAATGTAGACAAAGCCTTTAAATACCAGGGCAAAGATGAAGGGGCACATGAATACATGGAAAAATTAGAGAAAGGAATGAAGCAGTACACGGGGTTAGATCCAGAAAAACCAGAGAACCACAACACATTGAAACTACAGTATATCCAGGGTGCAGCCCCAGATGTGAAGAAGAAGTTACAAAAGATAGAAGACTTAGCAGATGTATCTTTAGAAGAACTGGTAAAGAAAGCAACAAGGGTTATAGCAAATAGAGAGGAAGTGCAAGCGCGGAAGCAAGTAAAGTTAATGGCACAAGTGGCAAAAGAGGTGCAGAGAGAGAGTGAGTCGGCTAGGAAGACTAGGAGTTGGCAGAAAACAGGGAGAGGAGGCTACAAAGGGGGTGAACGGAGGGGTCCACCCCTGCCCCCTGATGTCTGTGCTTTATGTAAGAAAAAAGGACATTGGAAAAGAGAATGCCCAGAGAACCCCCAAAATAAAGAAGGGGAGCAGGGTGGGGTAGAAAAGAGGAGGATTGAGACTAAGGAACAAAGAAGACAAAGGGATGGAGGAAGAACGGAAGGAAGGGAGTTGTATCAACAGATGATGCAGCTAGAGGAGGATTCGGATTAGGGGTGTCAGGGGCTGCTACATCAAGGACCCACATTTAAGGAGCCCTTGATAAATTTATTGGTGGGTCCAGAAAAGGAGAAAATAACATTTCTGGTTGATACTGGAGCTACACGCTCTACATTGTGTTGGAAGAATCCTGATTGGCAATTCACAAAAGGAAGGGTGAAAATTTTAGGAGCAACTGGACAATCAGAGGAAGTTCCAGTTCTGCAACCCCTTATAGTCAGAATAGTGGGTGAAGAAGGACCAGGAGAATGGCATGATTTTCTGTGGGTACCTGGGGCAGGAACAAACCTGTTAGGTAGAGATATAATGGGAAAGTTGGGTCTGCAAATAACCTGCAGGGAACAAAAGTGTCTTGTAGCTATAGCTATGTTGAGAGAAGAAGATGAGATGCAAATTAATCCCAAAGTTTGGCCCTGTCCTGGGAATCCAGGACTTTTGAGTATCAAACCAGTAGAAATAGAATTGAAATCAACCAAAGTGGTACAGCAAAGGCAGTACCCTATATCAAAAGAAGCTGAGGAAGGGCTGAAGCCAGTAATAAAAGAGTTGTTAGATGACGGACTCATTGAAATTTCTAATTCATCATACTGTACTCCTATCTTGCCGGTTAAGAAGCCAGATGGGAGCTACAGGATGGTACAGGATTTAAGGAAAGTAAATGTGATTGTGAAACCCAGAGCTCCAATTGTTCCAGATCCCTATACTATCATGAACGGAATACCAGGGGAGCATGAGTGGTATACCGTGATTGACCTCAAATCAGCATTTTTTACTGTCCCGATAGCAAAGTCTAGTGGTGAAGTGTTTGCCTTCCAATGGCCACACCCAGAAACTGGACAAATGACCAGGTTCCAGTGGTGCGTGTTGCCACAAGGTTACGTCGAAAGTCCGACTATCTTTGGGGAAATTCTTGCTCAAATCCTTGTGGAATGGCGGCCGGAACATGGTTGTCATCTCATTCAATATGTGGATGACCTCCTGTTGAGTGGAAGGCTAGGAAATGAGGTTAGGAAGGATTCAGTCAGATTGCTGAATTTTCTGGGAGACAAGGGATTAAGAGTCAGTAAAAAGAAGGTTCAATTTGTTGAGAAAACTGTGAAATACCTAGGATATATTATACTAATCAGTGGAAAGAAATGTCTAGGGGAACATAGGATCCAGGCATTAATGGAAACGCCAAAACCAAGAACAAAGAGACAATTGCGAGGGTTTCTGGGTATGGTAGGGTTTTGTCGTGCCTGGATCCCTGAAATGTCAAGACTGGTTAGTCCATTGGTGAAGATGTTAGGGCAAACTGAACCAGATCCCCTGATTTGGAACAAAGAGGGTAACCGAACTTTCGAAGAGATAAAGAAAAGGTTAACTGAGGCCCCAGCCTTGGGTCTACCAGATATACAGAAACCCATACATCTTTTTGTCTCGAATCAGGGAATGTTTGCAGCAGCTGTAGCAGCACAGAAAAGAGCAGGAGCAATGCAGCCGGTAGCTTATTTGTCCAGAACCATGGATCCGGTTATAGAGTCGTGGCCAACATGTGTACAGGCTTGTGAAGCAGTGGCCACTATGGTAAAGGTAGCTCAGAAATTATTTCCCTTGTATGCTTTGGAGGTGCACTCTCCCCATCAAATTAAAACCATACTAACTGCATCGGCAAGCAGATGGATGAGCAATCAGAGGCTCATGCAAGCTGAGGTGTTGTTAGTAGAAGGAAATGACCTGCTGGTAGTGGTGGATGAGGTCGAACCGGGGAGAGGCCTTCAACCATTAGAGGGTTATAAAATGGAAACACCGGACCATGATTGTAGACAAATAGTAGACTTCCAAACGAAATGGAGAATTGACCTACAGGAGGAGCCTTTGGAGAACCCTGAGGCGATTGAGTGGTTCATTGATGGGTCTTCCAAAGTAATAAATGGGGAACGGAGAAGTGGATATGGAATTGTAACGGAGTCAGGGGAAGTGGTGGAACAGGGACAACTCCCTCCATCTACTTCAGCACAAACAGCTGAGGTGTGGGCATTGAAAAGAGCTTTGGAATTGGGAGAAAATTTGGATTTGACCATTTATACAGACTCTCGGTATGCCTGGGGAATTGCCCATGCCTTTGGAAAGATTTGGAAGGAGCGGGGATTACTAAATTTTAGGGGAAAAACAATAGCCCATGAGAAAATCATTGAAGATACTCTTGAAGCTCTTTCCAAACCTCACAACTTAGCCATAGTACATGTTTCGGCACATCAAAAGGGAAATGCAAAGGAAGCCACAGGGAATAGAGCAGCCGACAAAGCTGCCAAGGAAGGGGCAATTAATGGACCATTAGTTCAAATTGCTGTGGCTCGAATTCCTCAATATGGAGTAAACCCAAAAGAAAAATGGGTGTTTACACAAAAAGAATTAGAATGGATGAGTGCAAATGGAGTCAGAGAGGAATTGGGCACATGGATTAACCCGGATGGGAGGGAATGGGTTCCTAAGTCGGCAGCAAATCGAATAATGCAAGCATTACATTCAGGAGGGCATTGGGGTACTGAGGCACTGGTAAATGCTTTCCTAAAGGATTATTTAACCAGAAGTGTGTGGACAATTGCTAAAGGAATAACACAGAGTTGTGAGATATGTCAGAAGGTGAATAAATCAGGGAGACGAAAGGTAGAGAAGGCAGGCTGAGAATTGGTGACTAGGCCCTTCGCTGGAGTACAGTTGGACTTCATCAAGATGCCACGAGTGGGAAGATTCAAATATTGCCTTGTCCTAGTGGATCACCTTACTGGATGGGTGGAAGCTGTACCTGTAGTAAGGGCCACAGCCTCGGCAGTAGCCAAGGTGCTGCTAGAGGTGGTTTTGCCTCGCTTCGGGTTACCTGACACCCTAGATTCAGACAGGGGGGGCATTTCACTGGTAATGTGGTGCAAAAGGTGGCAGAGGCATTAGGTATAGAATGGGAGCTTCATACACCTTGGCACCCCCAGTCTAGTGGAAGGGTAGAGAGGGTGAATGCTTTCCTAAAGCAGACATTGCGGAAATTGGTGGTAGAGCATCGTCTGCCTTGGACTAAGCTCCTTCCTATAGCCCTTTTCTCCATGAGAGTAAAGCCCCGAACAGACATAGGTCTATCACCATTTGAAATGTTATATGGACATAATGTTCTTGGGAGAGGAAAGTTCACGGGAGCAGTGCATGAGTTGGGTGAGGCTGCTCTGAAAAGATATGTTCTGGCCCTGTCTTCTGTGTTGTCGTCTAATAGGATCCAAGGAATACAACACCAGACCATACCACTGGAGGCTGCCGTACATCCTTTCCAGCCCGGACAGTACGTGTATGTGAAGAGGTGGAACCATAGTCCTTTGGAAGCCAAGTGGGACGGTCCATATCTGGTCTTGCTGACCACTGAGACAGCAGTTCGGACAATAGAAGCTGGTTGGACTCATCACACCCGAATAAAACAGGCCGTGATCCCGAACAGTGGAACCGAAGAAGAGTCATGGGTTTGCCGGATCCCCGATCTGCAGGAGCCACTCAAGATGAAAATAAAAAGGAGGGGCAGAAGTGGATCAGGGGCCGAGGAATAAAAATATTGATATTGTGGATTCTGTTCTTAAGCTGTTGGGATGGGACTGAGGGTGTGATTAAAGGAGAATTTAATGACATAGAGATCAGGATGAAAGAAAATTTATGGGTAAAATTAGCAAAAATTGCAAAAGTTTCAGACTTTTGTCTAGGCCCAGATGATACAGTACATGGAATGTTGGGAACATGTTTAATTCCAGTTTGCAAGGAGCCTCAGAGTATTGCAAATCACACAGATTTAGGTCAGTGGTTTGACGAATCTATTGTAAAATATACTAATTCACACCAATGGGGATACATCACCAGGCGACTCCCGGCTGATGCTTTTTCTTTACATACACCTATAGTGGCAGCTGGCGAAAACACAACCTGTGCCAGAGTGGTCGGTTGTTCCTCAAATAAATGTGTGAAGACACCCAAAGCTACATGGAATTGTTCCCAGCCAGTGAACATCTCTTATAATTGGGCTCATGTGATTCTGCCCCCTGGTTGGTTTTTCACATGTGGGCAGCAAACATTTAATTACATACCAGCAAATCTGAGTGACACTCTTTGTTGTTTGAGCCGTTTGGTACTTAATTTACCACGAAAGGAGGAATTGTCATTAGGATATTCCGGGAGAAATACAAGAATAAAAAGAGACCTCCACAATCTGAGCCCAGATTGTAATAGTCATGTACACATCTTCAGTGATGCTGAATTTTTGTCTTTAGGAGTATCCTTGGTAGGCGTTCCAGCTTTAGCTGTGTATAACGCAAAGCAAGTATCAGCTTTGGCATGTGCGTTAGTTAAATCCATTAATGAAACCTCTACAGCCATTAGTCTCCTAAATCAAGAACAGCAGCAGTTGCGGGGAACTATACTCGACAACAGAGCTGCTCTCGATTATTTGATGCTTAAGGATGGACGAGGCTGTGAGAGTTTTCATAACTTATGTTGCTTTAATCTGACAGACAACAGTAAGTCAATTCACCATCAAGTGGCTGGTCTTAGGAAAATTGTAGAGAATATAAAGGAGGACACAAACCCTGCATGGTGGGATTGGCTTACTGGGTGGTTATCATTTGGGTGGCTAAAAGCGCTGTTTGTAGCTGCAATAGGATTTATAATGATCAGTCTAATTGTATGCTGTGGTCTACAGCTCATAACCAAATGTTTTCCAAAAGCCATTCCCTCACCCTGGGGAAAAAGAGGCATGATTACTATTAGATTGGTGAGAACTACAACACTGGTTGAAGACCCGCCTATTGAAGAGGGTTATCATTTGGGTGGCTAAAAGCGCTGTTTGTAGCTGCAATAGGATTTATAATGATCAGTCTAATTGTATGCTGTGGTCTACAGCTCATAACCAAATGTTTTCCAAAAGCCATTCCCTCACCCTGGGGAAAAAGAGGCATGATTACTATTAGATTGGTGAGAACTACAACACTGGTTGAAGACCCGCCTATTGAAGAGGTAGACGTTTCCAGTGATTATGCCTCATTAGAGATGGATAAGGTCTCCTGCAACTATGAGGAGATTCCCAGGGAGTAAAATTTGTTCAAGTATTTGGGGCTGGATTGTTATGGATAAAAAGAGAGGCCCAATAATGAACAAATTTTACCAATAATCAATGAGAGTTTAGGAGTAACAAAGAGCAAAGCAAGCCTGCTTATGGTTGCAGCTTCAGTTGCAAAAATTATTTTAAGATACTGCTTGACTAACACAAAAAGAGGATGTGAACTTGGGCACAGATGCCTGGGTCAGCAGAAATGTTCCAGACAAAGTCGAAAACAGGAAGTTAAGTAAACAATGTTACTAACCGTTGACCCAGTGTAACCAATGTACTAAAAATGTGTGTTTTGGAAATAGCTTTTGCTGAATGTGGAAATTGATACTAACGGTCATAAGAAAGAATAATAAAAAGGAGGTGGGATGATCAAGAGGGAGGGCTTTGATTTTGGGTGGGAAAGGGGTGGAATTAAGGGATATTAATTAGATAGATTGTGAACCCATTGGCCAATTGGTCTTTGGGGCAGGGAGATTATTTTGAGTATATAAATCAATGCTGATACCTCATTTATTCGGAAGCTCTTGGGGGATTTCCAACTTGAGCTTCCCCGCTGCTGCAGTGAGATATATAATAAAGCTGCTTCTTGTTTTCACCTCAGAATTGGTCTAAGAGTGTTATTTGCTCTTAGAATTTTACTCATAACAGCAAAAACATCATCATGAAGCGATTTCGTTGTATAACGAGGTAATCGTCAAGTGGGGCACCACTGTATTACATTCCACCATAAACTTTCCTGGGCTGCCCATAGACGGTCCATAATCCAAGCAGCCCAGAACATGCAGAAAGCTATCTTGCATTTTTTCTTTACTAAGGGGGTACAATTTATACCAGCTGTTATCCAAGTTTCTAAGCTCAAGATTCTGCCCCAACTGTTATATGGTATACCAGCGTGGATCCTAGGATTTCACACAAGTTTAGAGAGTGTTCTCTCAGTTTTTCTAAGATCCATTCTGGGAGTGCCAAGATGCGTCCCTGCCACTGCCTTATGATTAGAGACTGATCTAAGTTCACTAGAATGCAGCTGTTGGCTCTTTGCTTTTAGAGACTGGAACAAGGTAATACATGCTGGGATATCTTAACCTTCTACAGAAAGATGTCCATAACAGCTCATGGCTTAAAGCTTTTCCATCCAAACTGCATCTATTAGGGCTCTCTTTGTACTTTCTTTATGCCCAGGAATCCAAGGCAGCCAACTCTATCTTAGAAAAGCGGGTCAGGGACATTGACTTCCAGTATTCTATTTCAATGGCTCGCAAAACATGCTCAATTTTGCACCATGGCCTAAACTAGAATTTCTCCCAAAGTGCTAGTTATTTAGAGAACTTGATTACCCCAAAATACAGACATGTATTCTCAAGAGCCCGATTTAACTGTCTCCAGTCCGTAATCTTAGATGGGCAATATTCTGGCACTCCTTATGAAAAAAGATTGTGCCCTTGTAAGTAAAGAGAAATTGAAATTATGAAGCATGTCCTTTTTGAGTGCAATTTTTACAGAAACGAGCATATTAATTCCTTAAGACCATAATGAATGTCTTCACAGGTAGGACTCTGATTTGGCATACAAAATATTTATTAAGTGACATAAACAAGAAAACCACCAAATCAGCAGCCAAATTCCGCCTCTCTGCCCAAAGAATAGGAAAAACAATCTTAACCTCTACCTAACCCTGTCATTAAAAAACAACAATAAACAAAACACAAAAAATCATTTTATGGGTAATCCATTTTACCAATTTATACTGTTTTGCTGTTTTGAAATGTTTTAATTGTTTCCATTTATTTTAAATATGTATGTATTTTAATGGATCAGAGTCCGTAAAATAAAGATTAATTGATATAAATGCATGGAATGTGGAAAGAGCTTCAGTCACAGCAATAGTCCCAGTTCCCACGAAGGAACTCACACTGGGGAGAAACCATATAAATGCTGGAATGTGAAAAGAACTTCAGTCAGAACAGTTCCCTGAGTTCACATCAAAGAACTCACAGTGAGCCTAAAATGCATTTGCTTTTTTTGTAGCCACAGCAAACTGTTGTCTCATACAGTGGTGCCTCACTTAACGGGCGCCCCGTTTAACGATGAATCTGCATAGCGATGAAGATGTTGCAGTCACTTTTGTGATGTTCCCTATGGGAAAAAATCACTTTGCGCGAGCCTCGTGGCGCAGTGGTTAAAACGCTGTACTGCAGCTAAAACTGTGCTCACGACCTGGGGTTCAAATCCCAGGTAGCCGGCTCAAGGTTGACTCAGCCTTCTATCCTTCCCCATTGCTGGGGGGGCAATGTGTAGCCTGTGTAATTAAATTGTAAACCGCCCGGAGAGTGCTTGTAGCGCTATGGGGCGGTATATAAGTCAAAAAAAAAATTGCCCCACCAATCAGCTGGGCGAAAATGCAGGCTTCGGGATGATGGGGGGAAGCATTTCCCCCCATCATCCCGAAGTCCCACCGATCAGCTGGGCGAAAATTGGGCATTTGCAATTATTGCACGGAAGCGATCATGGCAAACACCCCATTTTTGCACAGCTGATTGGCAGTTCCAAAATGGCCGCCGGAAACAAAATGGCGACAGCTGTTTTGCCTCGCTTTAAAGGCACCAAAAATGGCCGCCCCTGCGGAGGATCTTCGCATAAGGTCAGTTTTTAAACCCATAGGAACACATTAAACACGTTTTAATGCATTTCTATGGGCTTTTAAAAATCACTTAGTGACGAAATCCCTTAACAACGTTTTTCCTGGAACGGATTAACGTCGTTAAGGGAGGCACCACTGTATTTAGTTTGGGATCCATGACAATTCCCAGATCCTTCTCGTTTGTAGTTTTGCTGAGCCAGGTTTTCCGTAACTGTGCAATTGATTTCTTTTTCTGATCTGCAGTTCTTTGCACTTCTCCTTGTCAAATATTATTCTGAGGCTTTCGGCCCAGTGCTCCAACCTATCAAGCTCATTTTGATATTTTCTGTCTTCCAGGTTAATGGCTACTCCACCCAATTTTGTGATTTTCACAGATTTGATTAGCATTCCCTGCGTCCCCAATCTACATCATAAATAAAAAATATTGCAGAGCACCGGGCCCAGGGCTGAGCTTTGGGGTAACCCACTTGTGACCTCCTCCCAGTTAGAGAAGGACCTATTAATCATCATCCTCTATGATTCTATAGCCAACTGTGTGTCCACCTTACACGTGATCTATCCAAGCCTCACCTGGTAAGCTTGCTGATCAGGATATCATGGGGCACTTGCTCAAAAGCTTTGCTGAAGTTCACATACAATACGATACAGCATTCCCTCTGTCTAGCAGGGAGGTTACCTGATCAAAAAAAATGATTGAATAAGTTTGGCAGAATCTGGACTTGACAAATCCGTTGTTCCATATCCAGTTCTAACTGTTGCTTCCTGTCCCACGTATAGGTTTCTCAGGAGATAGATAAGGTGGTCAGGCACTCCCATTTCTTTAAGAACTTGCCATAGTTTCCTGTGGTCCACACAGTCAAAGGCTTTTGCATAGTCAATGAAGCAGAAGTAGATGTTTTTCTGGATCTCTCTGTCATTGTCCATCTGGTGATGTCCATGTGTAGAGTCGCCTCTTGGGTTGTAGGAAAAGAGTGTTTGTGATTACCAGCTTTTTCTCTTTGGTGGGGTAACATTTTTTTCAACCAACCAACCAACCAATTCATGAGTCCTTTCTCCCCTCCCTGCTTCCCCTTTAAATGCTCAAATCCTGCCAGGGCAACAGTAGATCAAAAGCCAGTTTATACGGCTAGCTCCCCACAGGAGTGGTCAAGGGCACGTAGAGCAGAAGGCCCCTGGGATCTGATCAGCCCCACCGCACTCCCTCCTGAGTGTGTGTGTGTGAAGAAGGCAGGATCAAATCCAAAAAGGCACTTCCTCCCTCCCACCTGTCCATCCTGAACTGTCCAAGGAGCCTGCCTGCCCTTTTGTGAATCCCTTAAAGGGGGGGGGCTGCAGAAAGGGACAGTTCCTGGTTTTGATGAGACCAAGCGACACAGCAAACGCCATCCTGCCCTGGAAATTGCTGTTGTTGTCATGATCAACCTCCTCTAAAGGAGAACCTGACCGGTCGGACAGAAGTCTGTGCACCCTCATGCAGCTGGGTTGAATCCTAGGTGACCTCAGCCAAGGCATGCAACAAACTTCTTACAAGTCTGCCCTAAAAAGATACTTGCTCAACCTTAGAAAAAATCAATAAGAAATTGCACATGAGCTTTGTAGTCCTTAGACCCAATTTGCAATAGCTTTACAGAATAAAGTCAGTTTGATACAAAAGCATAGCATATTACCATTTTCAAGGCTTGTTACAAAATAGAAATGAAGCAATAAGACATAAGACATAAGAAATTTATTTGTCATTGCACTCACAAGTGGGTGCAACGAAATGAGGTGCTCTTCCCCAAGGTAAAACTGGACAACACCACTACAAAAAAAAGTTAAAAATATACACAACACTCACCATACAAATATAGATACCCCGTTTCTCCCAGCAATTAAAATTCCACCAAAAACTTATGACCCCGCATTTAAACTCAATACTGCACTTGGGTAGAAGCTGTTCTTGAATCTACTTGTCCTTGCTTTCAATACCCTGAATCTCCTTCTCAATGGTAATAGTTTAAAGAGCTGATGTCCCGGATGAGAGGAATCTTTCAGTATGTTAGATATCTTCCTCTTACATCTGTTCTGATACAATTCTTCCAAAGAGAGGAGTGAACAGCCAATGATGTTTTGGGCCGTCTTAATCACCCTTTGAATTGCCTTTTTCTCTGCCACTGTGCAACTCGTGAACCATACACAGAGACAGTAGGATAAACTCCCTTTAATTACAATAGCTCTAAAAATCCCTAAAAATCTCTAAAAGCGTTCTTAGGGTAGGCAAAAGGCATAAAGCCCTCCTTCCTTTCTTCCTTGTCTCCCTACATCTCCCTCAGTCCTTCACCTGCACTGGGCAGCAGAACAGTTTGGGCCTCTTGCCTATCATCATCATCATCATCATCATCATCATCATCATCATCATCATCATCATCATCATCATCTCCCTCCTCATGGCGCGTGTCCTGCAGAAAATGGGGGATCTCCAGGTCAAGCAGGTAAGGGGGGGCCCTGCAGGCTCACCTTCACACGTTTCTGGGAAGCAGGGCGGCGGCGTGTCGCTGGATCTGCTGAAAGGTTTTCAGAAGGGTCAAATACATGGGCACCACTCATTTGCTTAGGACTTTAGAAGCCCAGTCCAGCCATTTGTCGTCCCTCTTCCCTTCCCCCCTCTCCTCTCATGTCCTGCTTTGTTTATTTGCTTGGCTTTTGCAAGAGCTTTTCTGCCCCTGTGTGTATTGCAGATTCCCCTAGACACACAATGGGCACAACGTTGTATTCTCTTACGGCACCCATCCTGAGAAGCAGTCTCGTACCTGCCAGGATTCCTAGTTCAGACCTGGAGAGCTTGCACCCAGTTATGCATGTGCTTCAGGGGTGCGGCTGTGTTCCTGGGGAACAAGAAATAGCCTCCTAACAAACGGATAAGGAAAGGTTTGTTGCCAATGTGTAGGTAAAGAAACACTTCCTTCACATTCCTGCAG